TAAGAAATGAGAATGTCATTTTAAAAAAGCTGAATGGAAGGGACGCGAAAACAAATCAACCATTCTGAGGGAAACGCACCACGGGGGGATTCACACAGAGAGGCGGGTCAACAACGACAACAAAAAAAAAAAAAAAAAAAAAAAAAAAAAAAAACGGGAAGCGACGCTACATGTGCAGGTGCACATGAGATGGACAACAAAAAAGAGCAACGCGACAAGGGAAGGAAAAACAAAAACGATGAGCGGCATGGAGAAAAAAACACTTGCGTATGCGTACACATGTGCAGTGACACATACGAGCATACACGACGGGATACACAACAGGGGCGTTGCAATAGCCCCATGGGCTTACGTTTAAATGGGGAATTTGAAAAAAAAAAAAAAAAAAAATGATTTGTAAAGTTCGGCGAATGAATTTGTATATTTGTAAATTGGTACATTTGTAAAGTTGTAAACTTGTGACACTATACAGATATGGGCGGAAGAAACGAGACACAACATCACGTCACTCCAACACATCACTTGATGTTAGTGACGAGCCAGTCCAGGGCCTCCGTAATCCCCAGGTTCTTCGTAGCACTGGTGCTGAAAATAGCCCACTGCCGATCCCGTATCGACGTTAAATTTAAGTCCTTCGAAATCTGAGTAATAGAAAGACAATTCTTAACATCCTGCTTGTTTGCAAAAATGACCAGGAGTACTCCTTCCAAATCGGGCTCCTTCAGAATCATATTAATTTCCCATTTTGTATTGACCAAGCGTTCGCCATCTGAGCTATCAATGACGTAAATAATAGCATTTGTATTTTTATAGTAGCACCTCCAGTAGGGTCTAATGGACGACTGTCCCCCCAAATCCCACACCTGTAATTTTAAGTTCTTGTAGTTTACACTTTCTACATTGAAACCAATGGTAGGAATAGTTTGTACTATTTCGCCCAGCTGCAGTCTGTTCAGGATGGTCGTTTTTCCTGCATTATCCAGGCCTAATATGAGGATCCTGATTTCTCTATTTGAAAATAGGCGGGCCAGTATGGAGGAGAACACCATGCCCATCTTGCCTCCTCACTTTTTCGTACGTGTGTTTGTCTGTATGTATGTGTGTGCGTGTGTCGAGCGTGCCCCTGAGGAAAGGCCTTCACAATGTGCCGTGGCAACACAAGTGCTTATAAGGTGTCTAGGCACAAGTATGCTTACGTGTGTAGTGCACACATGTGTCTGGGTGATAGTCACTTGTAGGAATTTGCAGCGATTTGCATTTTTTTTTTTTTCCCCTCAAAAAAATGAAGCTCATTAGCTCATTTCGTGCACAAGGGGCAATTTGTTCCTTGTGATGAGGGCTGCATCCACGTGGGTGCTAGCTTTTTCCTTGCTACTTGTCCGGTGATCCTAATGTTGGTCTGTCAGCCTCGTGTTCGACGCTTTAGTTGTGTGAACCTCTCCAGTTGATGCCTCCCTGCTTTGTGTCTTTCCCTCCACCCTTGCCGAGGCCTCCAATATTATCCTTTCACAATTTCACAGAGTATATATATTTTTACACCCTAAACAGAGTACCATAAGGCGTGACGCGTCGCTTGTGTTTCGAATTTAAACGATATCATATGAGGTTTTGTTTTTTTTCGTTCTTTTTTTTTTTTTTTTTTTTTTTTTTGTTCCTTCTTTCCGTTTAAACGAGCATACATGTTAGCACTAATCGCGAAATGTTGGCCAACTTTATTTATTTATTTTTTTTTTTTTTTGCTTTCCA